AAATACTGATCAAGCCTTTAAAATCCCAGAAGCTTGGAGAGCGGTAAAAAATATCGTCATCTGAATGGTTATTCATGTTTTCTACTTTAGCGTTGCGTTCAATGAGAGGGGTTGGTATGTCCCTAAGGCTGAATTTCAAAACCTGGCGTTTCGTGTATTGAGGAGAAAACCGTGTCGCTCTGAATATTTCACTATTGTATTTGAGCGCTTCTCTGTCGCTGTCGCAGTTTTAATCCATCTCATTATATTGTCGCCATTTTTAATGCCCTATGTCGCTGTTTCAAGACAATGTCACTTGTCGAAGTACACCCTTACAAGGCCTCTTCAATTGTGGACGGATCTTCTGTGTATGCCACGATTTTTGTGTTTTTCAGCCACCACCACGTAATTACCAACCAGCGGCTACAACGGAAGAGAAAGCAAAACCACCCGCTCGTCCCCCGCCTCCTCCGCCTAGGCCAGTGGAGAAAACGGTTAGTTACAAGACGGTCATAGACCGGCTGAACAATATTGTTCGGTCGGTAGGTTAAGTTTCAGTTTCTTGAAGAAATCCAAGACATCGACATATTTTTATTCAATGGAATCGTTGTCCCAAAAAAGCGTCGCAGTTTTAATTTATTGTTTGTTTACCAGAATTTGTACAGACTTTTGATTTGTGTAGATTTTGATTGGAAATATGGCTATGGTTATTACTAACATGTTGGCAAGAAAAACAACAACAACAACAACTAACACTTTTGTGTGACGTTGCATATTTCATATATGCTATATGCTAATCATCAGCCAAAATTTTTTTGACAGTTTATCAATTTATCAATATTTATTATTTTGAACTTGAAAATGGCGCCAAGATGACACCGAACGAAACGTCGTTCGTTCTTATCCGCGTTATTTTTTACTTGTTTCTGAACAAAAAAACATTTAAGCGGAAGGTTGTTAAAATCTCCTCGTGGTGTGTCGTTTTGTTGTTTGTCATTTGCGTATTTCTTGTATTCTTCTACAGGCGTCTGGTAGAGTAAAATGGCCGACTGTTGACGCCTCCTACTATGGGGGTGGGGGAGTTGGTGGAATTGTTCCAGTCAGAGTAAGTATTAGAGAGTGTAGGGCGATTATCAGTATGTCTTTGGCGCGAGTAGCGTTTTTCCCCCTGGGCATGAGGAAGAGGCTGTGATGTCGTGCTTAATGGGCAGTCATCTTTGTTTCAGATGTACCGAGGGAGGGAGGGGGGAGTCGTTGGGGTGTATGAGCATCGACGCTCGGCCGCTCGCTACATTTGAGACAAAAACTGCCGCCGATTATAATAACTGCTGGATCACGACGAGCCTACAGTAACTAGGAGACAGTCTATTAATACTTAAAGTTTTATAAACCAAGCCGTTTGCGTTCAAAATTGTAGGTAGATTGGGGAGACAAAGGTTCAACTGAGGCAGGAGCGAGGCTGGCAAAGGCTAAGGTAAACTATCCTTTTTGAATTGTACATGATAAGTAACCGCTATGTACTAGAATTTTCCTCGACTTGCCGTACTGGCCCCGGTTGTTCAAAAGGTGGATAACTTTATCCGCAGGATAAATCTCTATCCACTGGATAGCACAACTGGTTTCCCTAATACTTATCCACTGGATAGTGATTTATCCGGTGGATAGCGCTATCCAGCTTTTGAACAACTGGAGCCTGATGTCTTACAGCCTTCGATGGCAGATAGGAATTTGCTCCTGGTAAAAGATGAACTATGTCCAACCGCATCATTTCTAAACTGGGTCCGGCTAAGGTGTCAGCTTGCCCTTATTTTTAAATATAAAAAGGATGTTTACACATTTCCTCAACGAGATTCAATCTGCTGGAACCTCTGTAACAAAATGGGCTCATCTTATAGTGTTAATATTTTCTTTTGGTCGTTTGTTACTATCGCTCTGCATAATACCAAGGCTCGTTTTGCGAAGACAAAATCGTGTTATTAAGGAATTTGCACACTAAGGTTAGTGGTTTCCCGCCTTTTCCCCACGTTCACGGCGTCTTTTTCGCGGAAAAAAATAATAGCTACATCATTAATTGACTATTAATTTTTTTTGTGGGTCCCAAAAAAACAGAGTAGGAGATAAACATTTCCATTGCTACTATGGTCGCTTTATCTAGTTTCAATACTTATGAATCTCCCACGGGTAGTTTATCGCGGTTAGAAGCAATGACAGCAGTTTTATGTTACCCGAGGTAAGTGCTTTATTCGGGGGACTTACATGTAGATGCGTACTTATATCACCAAAACTGTTGTTTTTATACACCTAATTCAAGAAAGGTTGCTTTGGTAATTTGTCATTTGTGCATACGGAACTCACTTCAATGACTTGCTTGAGTGTCCGCCAAACAATAACTTTCCAATGCCTAATTCTCCAATGCCTGAAGCAACCTTTATTGAATCAGGTATATATAACTCTTATTTTACTTTCACATTCCTATCCATTGCTTTGTATTTGTAGCCAACATTGATAAACGACACTGACGATAATGAAGGCTTAGTAAAGTCACCTTCAAAGAGATCTAGATCACCGACACCAGGATGTTGGACGGCCGCTAAGGTAAAAGGCTTAAGTCTGTTCACTCTGTATTTCTTCTAACGTCTTGGCTGAGAATTATATGGACATGTTGGAGCATTGCCAGCTGATTGCTCCCTTAACAAGGGCAAGGATGGGGGAGGGGGTAGTGGGGAGCAAGGGTGGCGCACAGGTGAGAGCACTCGTCTGCCATATGTGGGTAGGGCTCGAAAAGTCCCGTCCCGTCTTGCGGGGCAAGTGACTTTTAAAGCTCGTTGCACATGGGCAATTGTCCAAACCGTCATCTTCGAACGAAATCATTATCTAAGAGGAGCAAAAAGTGGCCTTGGACAAGGAAAATGTGAGAACTTCTTGCCCAAAGAACAAGCCGGAGTTCTTGGTTTTTTGTCGAGCCCTGTGTGGTTTGAGCTTGTTGTTGTTTCTCTCTTCTACCTCAAGAGATTTTTGTCGGGTAGTCTTCTTTTCGTAGCTCCCAAAAAAGGGCGGACCTGCACCTATTCCAAACAAGGTTTGTACTAGGCTGGGAAAACGATAGGGATGGTGACGTAACAATGCCCCAATCCCTGAAACGATAGGTAGTGCAGGTTATAGGGAGTAATAAAATAAGAGGTTTGGAAGGGTGCTGGTCAATCGAAAGAAAAAAAACAGTACTTCTAAATTTCAATTCGATCTGGAACGCACGTGCACTATCAAGCGAGTTCTTGCGAACTAAGTGTTTCTTGGATAGAAAGAAATTTACAATTTACAATCTTTTGTTTTACAATTTCCTTTTTCTTAGGTATATAACTTTGCGTTGCACCGATTGTTGATTACATGATATATAAGCAAGCAAACGTTTCCTTGAGATTTTTTCTTTTCTTTTTGGTTTCCGAGATCCAGGAAGAATAAATACGTGCAATCTTGCGGCAGAAACGAGCCCCTAAAGCCAGTTTCACGTCCTGGCCTCACAGCAGGGGAAAAAGGAGGCTTTCGTTTTGTTTTAAATGTGATTGATCGAAGTTTCGTCCGCCTCATTTTCCCTTTCTTGCGTTCATGATAAAGACACGATGCGCACAGCGGAAAATTCCAAAAATGAAATGACATTTCGTGGCGCGAATAATCATTAACTTGGATGAATGCATTTGTTTCTAGATCAAAGTTCTTGCTGGAGTGGATGCTATGTCAGAAGGTTATAGGAAAGTGGCTTCACACCGGCCTCGTCCAGGAGGAAACGTACGTTTTTCTTTTCTTTTCTTTCTTTGATTAAAAAAAAAATAATGAATAATAATAATAATGAAAATAAATCAACAAGTCATGCCTACTGTGCCTTGTTTCACCTTGACCCGTACTAGTTACCTGTTTAACCGGGTGTTATGATAGACACCAAGGCTGCTGCCTAAGAAAAATTTTAGGGAGCCCTTCGGGCTCCTAAAGTTTAAAGTTAGGAGCCCGAGCCACATTGTTAGGAGCCCAGTTTGAAATCCATGTATTGTTTTTCCAAGATCATTACATAGGTTATAGAGGTTCTTGCACACTTTAATAAGAATTCGCCGGGCCTAATAAATAACACGTAAACAAGAATTAACCGAATTATTTACTTTCATACGTTGCAAACTGGTACATGAAATCGAACATCAAGCACGTCCAGTCGATAGCACGCAAGATAGCTTCCCATTCTCGCCACAAAAAAGTTATCAAATCGACGAAAACCCAAGCAAACGATGAACTGCACGAATGTCAACATAGGCAACAAACAGCCCATAATTTTGCTATTCCATATTTGGAAGTCAAATCTCAGACCCAGTCTTCAACTGCCATCCGGACTCGGAAACGATGGCTTCGTTCGTTTCGACAAAGCTTCACAGTTGAACACGTTAGGTTTACATAATTTACGGTTTATTTGTGGAAATTTTATACTGCCTAATCGCATCATCGCTAACCATATCAACAGTTCCACTGTTTAAAGTCCTACTCCAGCTAAAGGAATATAATGTACAAGGAGGTTAAGTCTAATGCCGTGTGTTAAGTCAGGCGCCCGCGCGGGCTCCTTGTACCGAAATTTGGTCGCCCATGCTCTTACCTTGGGCGCCTCTGGCGACCGGGCGCCCGTTAGGCAGCAGCCTTGGACACACCTTCTAAATCAACGCGCGGTGTAAACTGCAAAACTTTTGTAACGACCGCTCGAACTTTTACCCAGCGTCTTGCGTTGAGCGTTATAGGTGCAAATGCACGATTGTAATTAACTCTGAAAATCTAAATGCAAATAATTCATATGTAAGTTCTAAAAACTACCATCCGCTGCTTCAGCGCTTTCTCAAGTTGTAAACGTACTGTTAAATGAAAAATCTCCTCAGGGACAAAATCTTCTAACCAGCACATAGCGGGTTCCTCTTCTTCTAATCGTAGAATGAACTTCTTCGACACAGTCGTCTTGTTCTTTCGATAGCTCAAGACACTTTCCTTGCGATTACTTAGTCCTCTTGTAAACTTTGATCTAAACTCATCGTTCGAGAATAGCTCATTGGCGCTGACCAAACTGTCCACGGGCCCTCCGTGGTAGCGCTCGTCACTAGCCCCCCTCGCTGCAGCGAGAAAAAGTTCGCCACGACGAATACGTGTGAGTCACTGGGAATGAGACTCATTAATGCTGACGTAAGCATTTGACAATGGTAGACTCTCAGATATCGCAACGAAGGGCAGTGTGTTATGAATCTTCCGAGGGCGCTGTTTGTTACTTCACTGCTATAGCTGAGATCCAATACTTCTAAAAAAGAGCAGGGGTTTTGAGTCATCGAATTCAGGACATCGTCTGTGATTGCGTGACCATACCTGTTTGGAATAGAGTAGCTGTTGTTGTTACAGTTGTCTCTGGCCAATCCCTTTTTTTGTTTTTTAAGGCCTGTCAAAAAGGTCATTTTCAATGTAAACACAGTTAGCGGTGCAGAATGCTTTAGGATTCTAGTCGTACTCGAGAGTTCAAAACTGTTAAAATAAACAATACCATCTTTGAAGGTTCATGTTGCAGAAGGCCCATACAGGGACCTTGAAGCATGTTTTGGATTGTTGGGGCCCGCTTACGCTACGCGCAAGCTCAACGACTACCTAAAGGCGCTGTAGCTTATTCAGGAGGATCCCCGGTTTGGCTATAGCCCAGCCAGCCCCATAGCTTCATGGACCCTGCCATAAGAGTCTTCGCAACTCTCCGTCACAAGTATGCCTTTGTGCTACTCTCCCTCCCAAAGGGTTGTGACCCACCAAGGCCAGAGGCTACAACGCATTGTCACAGTTACATGTCAGTAAAGTTCAGTGCAGTTGTAGCTTCATGGTTTTGATGATCTAGAGGTGGCATAAATGAAACCATTACTAGACTAGTTACTTGGTTGTACCCCCAACCTACCCACAACAGCAGAGTCGCAGATAACGGAGAAACCGACAGCGTGGTAACATGAATTTTAAACCATTTTCAGTCAGGTGTCTGCACCAAGATAGGTCTACTTCTGAAATCACCGACTTCTCCCAGCGAACGGACATAACAGCGTTGTCCGAAACATTCGTGCCATCGAGCACCAGTGACGTCAGTGACGAGCAGTTATCGATTAGCTTCGGAAGGCTCTCACCCTGAATGTTGTTGCATCTTCGGAGACAGAGTGATTTAAGATTCCTGTGAATAAGATTTTTCAAGATTCGTATTAAACAATGCCTGTCTTGCAATGACCTCTCCTATTACACAGGCTTAAGATTGCGCAAATTTAGCAAGTTTTCACGCTTAGACCTAGTTTTCAGATTACTTATAACGCAGCAGCAGAGAGAAAGGAAATAGCTTCTCGCTGTTAATTAACGTTACATCTCGTTTTCGTTTGACTGACTTAAACATTCCGCCTTCAGTTAATTCTTAATGGCAGTCAAATCTCTGTTCTCACCCAAAATGTTGAGTAGTGATGGGGAAAATGTTCTCGTTCATCCCAAATTCTTTACCTGCAGTGTTCTGCGATGTAACGCACCATTTGATCTGTGAGTGAAGAACAGTAACTGAACTCAAGTATTCTTACAGCTTGCAGCGAGACAAAAACCCCTCGTTTTTCCACTTCCAACTCTAGGCTCTCAAATAATTGATCACTAACCCCAAGGCACTTTACTGTTTGTAGACGTTGGGACATGATTCTAAAGGCGCCTGGGTGTCCAGAGCTGTGGCGTATATCCAATTTTGATAGGTTTTCCGGGAACGATGTCTCCTAGAACAAATACAAATAGCATACAAATTGTTTTGTTCTACCGTGTAGCGTGAAAATTTTGCAGGTTCTAATTTTTGCAAATTTTGCGGATTGACCTCGATCCGCAAAAATTAGTTCGCGCAGAAAAAATAAAACGCTGCAAAAATTAACTCCCTTCAGTCAAATTAAAAACTCTGCTTTTAATGGACTTGTTGTGTATGTTAGGGATAGGCCTTTGTTTTGTTTTGCTGTTGTTCAGTCCCTTGGTGGAGTAAGATATTACAGTGATTACCGTATTATTCTCCATTAAATATGTAAGTAGAGTGAACTTTGACTCAACATACCGTAAAATAAAAGTTGAAAATACCATGTTAAGGTTTCTTCTACTTAAATATTCTGCTACTTGAACAGAGAATCGCAAAAATTAGTTCCTACCAGAAATTTCAGTCATCTCGAACCGCCAAAATTTGTTCCCGCAAACCACAAAAAATCGCCAATCCGCAAAATAAAACTCCCGCAAGATTTTCATGTTACACGGTAACTCTCTTGTAGTCATTTGTGCTGATCCAATACATGAGCCAGAAATTAACAGGAAATAAAGCGCGTCACTGGCCTGCTGAGTGGGAGGTTGCGTGGTGAAAGCCAGGCGACAATCAGCCACGATCGCTGTTGTTGTTGTTGTTTTCTTTTTTAAAGAAAGACTTGTAAGATCATTCTCGCGGTGATATTTTTAAATGTCGCTGTACACAGTTGCTATTTATAGAACAAAACTGAGACAAACAAATTTAGTTAACATTAGCGAATTCCTCACTTTTGTCATTGAAATGAAATATCATCCTTACATGTCAGGCAGAGGGGACGTAAAAAGACCCCTGACGTTGTTCGAAAAGTGACGGGGTTGAAAAACCCTGGTGTCATGGTTTATCTCACTTGTGCCGTGACTGGTCTGGGTGGGCGAGGTGGGAACAAACAAGTGCTGAAGCGACACCAAAGTGCATCTCTTTGTACTGTCACGTCCGATATTACCTCTTTGGTAAAAGCGCACTTGAGCTATCGAGGCCTGCACGGTGGGAAGCTTATTTCGGTTTCAGTAGCATGAAAGACCAAGGTGTATTGGTATATTGCTGCATTGCTGCCCCCACCCCCACCCCTCTCCTTCCCCCTCCCTCCCCCTCCGTAACAGGGTTCCCCTTAGCAGTGTGGTGTGTCGCCGGTACCCATACATGCACCTGTTCCGAGTGAAAAGAGTCAAAGTTGTTGTCTAAGGAAACAACGCAAGAACAAGACATGAATCCGGACCTACACATCTTAACTTCGAGTTGTCAACCTCTTATCTGCCGCGTTGTTTCCTCCGTTATTCAACCACTCGTTGCGGCGGAAAAATTGGCACTGTCTTCTTTTCTTTTTTCGTTTTTCTTTCTTTTTGGTCTTTCTACCCTTTACTACTCACCTTCCCCGTGAAGTCTTCAACAAATGTCGTGGATTCTAAACAGAGCACTCTTAGTTTAGGACAATTCTCCACTAGAACGTGAAAAACTCTTGGCGACAACGTAAACCCTCCTAGGTTAAGCTTGTATAGCATTGGCACCATCCGAGAGCGAATTACCTTGATAAGGCACATTTCATTGAGTTTATGAAACCGTTTAAGATTCACTGACTTCCACAGTGAACTATCATACGCGATCAACCTCCATGTTCGGCAGACCTGGGCAATGTGGCACAAGTCTGTCTCGCCGAGACATCGAAAAATTAATAGCAAAATAGTGTCGGGGAACTCTTGGATATGCATATTTTAAGAGGAAGTAAAAGGATAAAATCCGACATTCGCCATGTTTGTGCGTATTAGAACGCGCGCAATCATTTGTTACGTCAGTTAATTGATTATGCATCGGATCAACCATCTTGGCAACCTAGCTCGATACAGGTTCGTCGAGCTCAACATGTCCACCGAGCTCGATCAACAATCTACCCCGGGAAACCTTGCTCGATTTGTTGTAACTGATATGATCCTAACCGTGCTGGAATCCACTCGTACTCAGTCTCCATTGGCCGTGCTGGACTAGTAATCGACATCGACTTAACTGAATCGAGCACGACAAGCATCGAGCTCTCGTTTACTATTTCTTTCTTTTAACTGTTAGTTCTTTTGTATATTTAAACGAGTTTTCTTCTTAAAACGGGAAAACACCATACATAAGTTATCATTTTTCGTTGAATGCTGTTTATTGCTGTTTCTGCTTAGTTGACGCTACATGTACATCTTACAAAAACTATCTTTAATCGTCCGCCGTCGTCTGCTACTGTTTATAAATATACCTTACATACAACTTTGACTTTTCTTAACAAGTGTTCTTAAAATACCCCCCCATCGCTTGCTCCGAATCGTCAGCTACATTAATCTTTAATCTCGTTTGTTTTGTTTCAGTGGCTGTATTCTTCAGATCCTGAAGTTTGATTCCCCTATTTTGCGTCAGGAACAGACAAACAATGACTTTTAATTTTTGTACTGCTATAGAAAAGCAATTCTGAGGTGGTTTCGCAAAGTGCGATAAAGTGACGGACAAAACTAAAGAATAGGTATACTTTCTCTTTAGTTCCTGCATATTCCCTTACTTTGACTTGCGCTGTTATAGTTCTCGCCGTTCAACAAGATATCCCTATTTCTAACAGTATTTTTATACTTGATATAAACAGGCTTTTTTTTAATGAATACATACATAAATTAATAAATACACAAATAAATAAGCCTTTAGTAAACGAGAACTAGAATTGACAAGTTTAGTTTCAGTGTACGTTTAGGAATAGGTTAGTGTGGTACTTAGTCATCAAATTATTGCAAGTTGCAATGTGTGTATAATACAACATGTTTTTAGTAAATATGACGAGAATGGCATCAGCAACAAACTTTGTATCGTATTTTACCCCTATTCTCTGGTTTAACAAGCTTTTCAAGGAACTAAACTTTAAATCTTTCCATTATGGGAATTTTTATGCATGTCTGTTGTATTGTCAAGAGGGACTTAATAGCCCTGCGAATTAGATCAATAAGGCTCTCACCCTGAATGTTGTTGCATCTTCGGAGACAGAGTGATTTAAGATTCCTGTGAATAAGATTTTTCAAGATTCGTATTAAACAATGCCTGTCTTGCAATGACCTCTCCTATTACACAGGCTTAAGATTGCGCAAATTTAGCAAGTTTTCACGCTTAGACCTAGTTTTCAGATTACTTATAACGCAGCAGCAGAGAGAAAGGAAATAGCTTCTCGCTGTTAATTAACGTTACATCTCGTTTTCGTTTGACTGACTTAAACATTCCGCCTTCAGTTAATTCTTAATGGCAGTCAAATCTCTGTTCTCACCCAAAATGTTGAGTAGTGATGGGGAAAATGTTCTCGTTCATCCCAAATTCTTTACCTGCAGTGTTCTGCGATGTAACGCACCATTTGATCTGTGAGTGAAGAACAGTAACTGAACTCAAGTATTCTTACAGCTTGCAGCGAGACAAAAACCCCTCGTTTTTCCACTTCCAACTCTAGGCTCTCAAATAATTGATCACTAACCCCAAGGCACTTTACTGTTTGTAGACGTTGGGACATGATTCTAAAGGCGCCTGGGTGTCCAGAGCTGTGGCGTATATCCAATTTTGATAGGTTTTCCGGGAACGATGTCTCCTAGAACAAATACAAATAGCATACAAATTGTTTTGTTCTACCGTGTAGCGTGAAAATTTTGCAGGTTCTAATTTTTGCAAATTTTGCGGATTGACCTCGATCCGCAAAAATTAGTTCGCGCAGAAAAAATAAAACGCTGCAAAAATTAACTCCCTTCAGTCAAATTAAAAACTCTGCTTTTAATGGACTTGTTGTGTATGTTAGGGATAGGCCTTTGTTTTGTTTTGCTGTTGTTCAGTCCCTTGGTGGAGTAAGATATTACAGTGATTACCGTATTATTCTCCATTAAATATGTAAGTAGAGTGAACTTTGACTCAACATACCGTAAAATAAAAGTTGAAAATACCATGTTAAGGTTTCTTCTACTTAAATATTCTGCTACTTGAACAGAGAATCGCAAAAATTAGTTCCTACCAGAAATTTCAGTCATCTCGAACCGCCAAAATTTGTTCCCGCAAACCACAAAAAATCGCCAATCCGCAAAATAAAACTCCCGCAAGATTTTCATGTTACACGGTAACTCTCTTGTAGTCATTTGTGCTGATCCAATACATGAGCCAGAAATTAACAGGAAATAAAGCGCGTCACTGGCCTGCTGAGTGGGAGGTTGCGTGGTGAAAGCCAGGCGACAATCAGCCACGATCGCTGTTGTTGTTGTTGTTTTCTTTTTTAAAGAAAGACTTGTAAGATCATTCTCGCGGTGATATTTTTAAATGTCGCTGTACACAGTTGCTATTTATAGAACAAAACTGAGACAAACAAATTTAGTTAACATTAGCGAATTCCTCACTTTTGTCATTGAAATGAAATATCATCCTTACATGTCAGGCAGAGGGGACGTAAAAAGACCCCTGACGTTGTTCGAAAAGTGACGGGGTTGAAAAACCCTGGTGTCATGGTTTATCTCACTTGTGCCGTGACTGGTCTGGGTGGGCGAGGTGGGAACAAACAAGTGCTGAAGCGACACCAAAGTGCATCTCTTTGTACTGTCACGTCCGATATTACCTCTTTGGTAAAAGCGCACTTGAGCTATCGAGGCCTGCACGGTGGGAAGCTTATTTCGGTTTCAGTAGCATGAAAGACCAAGGTGTATTGGTATATTGCTGCATTGCTGCCCCCACCCCCACCCCTCTCCTTCCCCCTCCCTCCCCCTCCGTAACAGGGTTCCCCTTAGCAGTGTGGTGTGTCGCCGGTACCCATACATGCACCTGTTCCGAGTGAAAAGAGTCAAAGTTGTTGTCTAAGGAAACAACGCAAGAACAAGACATGAATCCGGACCTACACATCTTAACTTCGAGTTGTCAACCTCTTATCTGCCGCGTTGTTTCCTCCGTTATTCAACCACTCGTTGCGGCGGAAAAATTGGCACTGTCTTCTTTTCTTTTTTCGTTTTTCTTTCTTTTTGGTCTTTCTACCCTTTACTACTCACCTTCCCCGTGAAGTCTTCAACAAATGTCGTGGATTCTAAACAGAGCACTCTTAGTTTAGGACAATTCTCCACTAGAACGTGAAAAACTCTTGGCGACAACGTAAACCCTCCTAGGTTAAGCTTGTATAGCATTGGCACCATCCGAGAGCGAATTACCTTGATAAGGCACATTTCATTGAGTTTATGAAACCGTTTAAGATTCACTGACTTCCACAGTGAACTATCATACGCGATCAACCTCCATGTTCGGCAGACCTGGGCAATGTGGCACAAGTCTGTCTCGCCGAGACATCGAAAAATTAATAGCAAAATAGTGTCGGGGAACTCTTGGATATGCATATTTTAAGAGGAAGTAAAAGGATAAAATCCGACATTCGCCATGTTTGTGCGTATTAGAAC